ACATGTTATTTCCGGTTGTTCACAACTATCAAATGGTGAGTTATTGCACAGACATAACCAAGTAGCTAGAATAATACACCAACAGCTTGCCATTAAATTTGGCTTTAATCAACAGGACGTTCCATATTATAAGTATGAACCAAAGCCAGTCCTTGAAAATAGAAGTGTCACACTGTACTGGGATTGGTCAATTATCACAGACAGGTTTATAGTGGCAAATAAACCTGACATTGTGGTGATAGACCGAACTACACGCAAGGCAATAATAGTGGATATCAGTGTTCCTCATGACGAGAATCTCGTAAAAGCAGAGAATGATAAAAAAATAAAATATATCGACCTGGCTCATGAGATTGTCGCTATGTGGGACGTTGATTCTACTATTATTGTACCAATAGTTGTATCAGTCAATGGGCTTATTGGTAAAAATATGGACGATTATCTGTCCAAGTTAGGTTTGGGCAAATGGCTGAAGGCATTAATTCAAAAATCGGCCTTATTAAATACGGCTCGAATAGTAAGAAGGTTCCTATCTTTGGATGCCTAACTTCACCGATGGCTTAGAATTCCTCGCCGCGGTGGATAATAGCCGAAATAATAATATTATTTATGTAGATTGTATTTATATTTATAATATTATAGATTTGTGATAATATATGTGATAAAAATAAATAATAATATATTTTTAATTACTCTCACAATTTAAATTAACAAGTTAGTGTATAAACAGTGTACACTATGGGCTGAGAGTCTGGTGGCTATACTAGGCGGAAGCCTGTGTTACGGATCACCAGGGTCTCCCCCTTCAGGATATTATCAACATAACTGAACAAGTTATTTGTTTGATTAACAATTGAGAGATATTGTATTATTAGTTACTTTTGTGTTGTGTGTGTGTGTGTGTGTGTGTGTGTGTGTGTGTGTGTGTGTGTGTGTGTGTGTGTGTGTGTGTGTGTGTGTGTGTGATCTATCCAGTACTAAAACTATGTATATGAAATAAGAAAGTTTTCAGTTGTCTCATAGTCCAGACTTAACAACCATTGAGTTACTTTTAATTTGCAAGTGCCTTTATTAAGAGGATATATACCAATTCTAGCGTTTACTTTATTATATAGAAAGATAAAAAATTCATGTGAAAATTTGGTGCAATGCGTGTTGTAGTAACAGACTAGATCATTTCTGCGCTTATCTTTTATCAATTGTAAATTATAGTGTAAGAGTGAGTGCTTTTTAATGATACATTGTAGAATAAAGAGCTGCCTGACATATAGAACTTTCCAATGTTTGTATAGGTCGACAGTAGGGTAAAGAAAGGGAAGTGAGGTGGATACTTTTAGTAAAGTTTTCTGTGCTCGTTCCAGTTTTATTATTTTTGTCCTTTCAGAACCACCCCAAGTTGTTATGCAGTATGTGATAATCGATTGACATAGGGCAAAGTAAATTATTTTGATGAATTTTGAATCAACTATGTGCCTAAGGTTTTTAAAAATGTTTATTAACTTTCTTACTCTAGTTGTTAACAAGTTTATGGGGCTATGAAAACTGAGTTTGTTATCAATAATTACTCCAAGATATTTTATATTATCTACTCTCTCAATAACACTGCAATGACATTGTGACGTTTTCAGCTTTGAACATGTATGTACTCTGAACTGTGTACTGAATATTGGGAGTTAATGTTATTTGTTGAACGCATGGTAAAAGTCATATATTTTGTTTTTTGTATATTTAATGTGAAAATGTTATTTTTTAGCCAGTCAGATACTTTATTTAAGCCTTCTTGAGCGTTTGCATATACTTCTTGCCACGTATTTGCATGAAAAAGGAGGGCTGTATCGTCAGCAAAACTTAGGATCTTACCTTGTGTAACTTTAATATTGAGGAGATCGTTAATGTATGTTAAAAACAGTGTAGGACCGAATACACTTCCTTGTGGTACGCCAAATGATATGTTAAGTACTTCACTAACATGATTATCAACCCTAACTTGCTGAGTTCTATTTGTTAGATAGTCTTTTATAAGATCTAAAGGTATGCCTCTAATGCCCATATAATCTAATTTATTTACAAGCAGTGGAATGTAGAGGGTGTCAAACGCTTTTGCTAGATCTAAGAATATAGCTAAGACTTTTTGTTTCTTATCAAGATTTTTTACGACAAAATCAGTGAGTTCATGTACGGCATCTGCCGTTGATGTATTGGGGCGAAAACGAAATTGATATTGTGATAATAATTTATTACTTTCTAGATAATTAGTAAGTCTTGTATTAATTAAGCGCTCTAAGATTTTTGACATTGTTGGGAGCAAGGAAATCGGTCTATAATTGTTTAAACTATGTTTATCTCCACTCCTTAGAATAGGTATTGTAATCGATTTTTTAAAAACTGTTGGAAACTTACCAGTGGTTATAGCTAAATTACAAATGTGAGTTATGGGTTTGTTAAGTAAATTCTTGTTATGTTTAAGCAGGTCACCTGAGGTATAATCCAGTCCTACTGTACAACCTGACTTTAGATTCGATATAAGTAGATAGATTTCCTTCTCATCCGTTGGAAATAAAACAATAGATTTTGAAAAGGGGCCTATTTCTTTACGGGTTATTTTATTTAATTGAATGATCTCTCTAGCTACGTTTTGACCTACATTAACAAAGTATGTGTTTATTTTATTTACTGAGGTTTTTGGGTCATCTGATATTGATAATAATTCAGTCGGTGAGTCTTTAGCTTTCTTTGAATGTGTTATCTTTTTATGGTTTCCCATAATAATTTAGTATTATTACTTGTTTTATATATTTCACTTTTTTCATAGTCTTTTTTAACATTAGCTAATATTTTTCTACAAAAATTTCTGTATCTTTTATATGTCAAATTTAAGACTTCATTATTTGGATATTTTTTGACCTTTTTACGGAGATTATCCCTATTTCTATTGCATCTTAAAAGTCCTGGTGTTATCCATGGTTTTCTTATGATTTTTCGCTGTGATATATTAATTGTTTTGGTGTATGAATCAATAATATTTGATAGTGAATTTACCAGATAATCAGTCGCAACATTAACATCAAACATGTTAAATTGTTGAAAAGTCAGTATTTTTTATTTCTAAGTATACATTATTGTAATTAGTGATTTTATTAGTCAAATTAGTGCAATAATTATTATTTTTTAAATTTAAAAGCAAGATAACACAGACATGATCTGTAATTGTTGTCTGAGAAACACAGCAGATTTGTAATTCGTTTTTAACATAATATGATCCAAGCAGGTTCAATTGTGAGTGGGCAATGTATGTGCAGAAAGGATACCAAAGGACGCTAATAAGTTCAAGTAGTTTTCGGCATGAGTATCTTTGTTCTGTTCATAAATATCAATATTAATATCGCCTGCGATAATTATATTTTTATTTAAACATATTTTCTTTAATAAATAATTAAGAGATTCAATAAATTTTGTAACGTCTCTTTGACTAGGAGGCCTATAAAGTGCCACAATAATTGTATCGTTATTTATCTTAGCTAGCAAACAGTTAGCGCCGATAAAGTTTGGTTCACTAATAGATATATTTAAATTAATTTTACTATAAATTATCACTCCTTCATTTTGCGTATTGTTATACGTATTTAGCGTGTAACTATAACTGTAGCCTTCAGTAGGAGGTATTATTTGAGAACTTTGTAACCAACATTCAGTCGCGATTATTATGTCAAAACTAATTTTAAATCTTGTTAGTAATGTAATTAATGAGATTATCGTAATTTTTTCTAATGCTGCGCACATTCTGCATTAATAGTTTTAAGGGTTGATGGTTATTACCTGTAGTATGCTTATAGCAGTGTTCTATATCGCAGTATGAGGAGTTTGCTGTTGTTATTGTATCTAAATCGTTAATTATATTCCTTATATTTTCGCCTTTTGTAATATTTTTTTAAACAAATACAATCTTTCATCATGAATGCGATGTAAAAAACTGATTAAAAACTTAGTTTTAAGGTGCATGAATACTTTAGAACTAAAAATATATTTTATATTTATAAACAAAAATATTTGGTAAATCCTTCTCTTAATTCTAACAGTATACATAAATCTATTCACCTGTAACTTATATTTAGTACTAAAAATAATATTACTGGATGAATCATACATAAGAATAAAATTAAAAGTGAGTTTTATGTAGTTTAAATGTTTTGGGTGCATGTATTGGTTATTAGAATAAGTGTTCGATATAAAATTAACAATAAAACTAAAGACTAATATTTTAAAACAAAATAACATAAAAAAACACACAGAACGCGACTTTTATGTCAAAACTAATTTTAGACCTCGATAGTAATGTAATTAGATTACAAAAACTTTTTCTAATACTGCGCTCATTTTGCATTTGTAGTTTTATGGGCTGATACGAGTAGCGACTAGTTGCAGTATGTTTATAGCTGTGTTCTATATCGCAGTATGAAGAGGTTGTTTTGATTGTGTCTAGATCAATATTCTTTATATTTTCCTTTTGTAATATTTTTTTAAACATGTACAATCTATCATCATGTATTCGATGTAAAAAACTGATTAAGAATAAAAATATTTGGTAAATCCTTGTATTAATTCTAATAGAACACATAAAGCTACTCACCTGTGACATTTGTAATATTATAATATTATTACTGGACAAATCATATCTAGGACCAAAGTTAAAAGTGTGTTTTATGTAGTGTAAATGTTTTGCGTGTATGTATAGGTTAATAAAATGAGGATTCGATATAAAGTTAAAAACAAAACTTAAGACTAATAATTTAGAACAAAACAATTTAAAATACATACAGAGTCATAGCTTTAGTTTTGATAGATCTTCTTCACTTTCAATATGAATTGTTTGCATACCGTCTTTCTTGCGTAGATATATTTTGCCATAAGAAATCCAGCAACTAACTATTTTTTATTTTCATAATGGGTTCGTGGAATATTTTTATTTCTGCCATTGTGGATCTCGCATTACGTTCCAAAAGTTAAATTTTCTGCTCAAGAGAGTTTATGAGACATGTTTTCAAATTATTTTCTTCTTTGATATGTTCTAATTCCTTTAAAACATCGTCATACTTTGCAGATAGGAATGAAATGGACTCACGAATTTCGACGTTTTGCTGCTTGATCTCATTAATTGATGTAATTAAAGTTTCAATCTTTTGGTTCTGTTGTTTATTAAAATCATTAAACATTCGGCGCAATTCCTGCATTAACGACGATTCTTCACTCGGCTCAGGAATCTTTCTTTTTTGTCTTCTCGTCAAAGTGCTACATTCATTATCACTTTCCATAAGAATATTAGGATTAGGATCCGTTCCATGTAACTGTATTCGGGTTTTATTACCAGATAAATTTAATGTATTTGGTGGAGTACGCTGTGTTGACATTATATTATGTGGGTATAAAATACTTAAGCAGGCTGACGGTAACTATCTTCGCAGTTAGGGCGGAGTCAATGTTGCGTCAGTTTGTATCGATATCCTTGTTTAACTGTTATGTTCAACGCACTCTTTATGCACTGCGTTCCTAGTAGCTCGATGTATTTAACTAATACGACGTTGAAAAATATTATTTTTAAATTCGAGTAAAATATAGGAAACACATCCGATGTCCACCGAAGCCCGAGGGGAAAGATACAATCAGACTGGCCTACCTATAAATAACTATAAAATTTTACTTTAAAACTAGGTTGGTATCTATAATAAAGGGTTAATTTTTTTACATAATAATGCTACTTAACTCTACCAAAATAAAACAACAGAAGTAGTGTTATACGATATTTAAGAGGTTTATTAAAAAGAAAAAAACAATCATAAAACTTAAAAACCGGCCCTTTAAAAAAAATCAAACATTTTAAATTTAAATAAAAATTATATCCGTGAGCCTCTGGCGAATTTCCAAACAGACGCTGGGTAAGTGAGAGCTTTATGAAGAATATGCTTAAAACATATAACAAATTAAACATAATAAAAAAAAGGAAATTAAAAGTTTGTCGTTTATGTCGATATTTACTTATTGCAACATGTCAAAGATTTATAGTACCTCGAATTACACAAAATATTACCTTTTTTACAATTGCACTTATTAGATAAACATTTTCCCTTGGAATAGTTTTTGCAGTTGCATTGCTTTATTCCTTGCCCGACAAATGCAGAAGACATCGCAGATATTTTTCTTAGTGGTAACTTGGCCTGTAAATATAAAAATGTAGCACATAAAAAATTGAATTTGTATGTTGTATATTCATGTTTAAAGGTATTAAAAAAATTAAATTTTAAATATATTTATTTCTTTAACAAAAGAAGCCTTAAATATATTTTGAACGGAGAATGAAAGAATTTTTCTGAAATTGAGCGAAGTAACAGCCTATTGACCAAATATTCGAATTATTATCTACTATCCAAGCTTGAATCATATTCTTCACGTCTTGGTTTGATCGTTCTACACTTCCCTGACTTTGCGGATAGCTGGGTCTTCCATTCACAATTTTGCAAGCTGACCATAAGCCAATAATTTCTTTCAATACTGATGCCGTGAACTACCGTCTATTGTCGCTCTGAAGGATATTGGGACAACCATCTTCTAAAAATATCTTCAAAATCTCTATTGCGACTTCTTTTACTTCTTTACTCTAGAGGTTGTAAAAAACAAAACTTTGTTAAATGATCTTGGTACTGTAGCATCCATTTGTACTCCCCATCTGGAGATGATTGAAAATCCACAAGATCTACCCGTCCTCTTCTATTAAAGTCATCTGAAATAAGTGGTTTTATGACTATCTCAGCTTTAGGGAAACTTTTTTTGGAAATACAAGTATTGCACAATTGGAGAAAAATATTTATGGCAAATACTGGTACCATGTACTTGTCTTTCAAGGCGTGATTAATTTTGTCACGCCGTCCGTGACCTGCAACATGTGTATCGAGAATTCGTTGATAGTATTGACTGCTAGGAACTATTTGTACCACTGGATCTTGCTGAGACTTTCTTTTTACTATCAAGACTTTTTCGCCACTAAAAGTCATAATATATATCATACTTTTTGGCGTGATAGTATTCTTTATCTGTGGGTCGATGTCCCAAAACTTTAGCTTTATTAAAATCTTCTATCATTTTAATTGCATTTTTAATTTTTTCCCCTGTCCATTCCGACTTCTTACTATTTTGGTCATGGCCACTATAAAACTTTCGTAGCTCTGTGGTAAATTTCACTTCGTCAACAATTTTTGTAGCATTTGCCGCACTATCTTCACCGTTTTGGCTGTCCGCAGCTTCTAGGTCGCTCATTATGGGTTTTGCCTTACCTTAGCAAAATAAAACTATTTTCACAGTTCCAACACAGGTTGAAACATTAAAAACTTTACAAAAACACACGAGTAGCCAGTTTGTTTACATTCCGTGGCGAACAATGGTGGTGGAGATGAATTAGAAGGAACACGTGACTTATTCAACGAATCATAGTGCACATGGCGTTTGGTTATTGCTTACTTATTATTTTACGTGTGAGTTCGGTAAGTTTATCAATTTGCAAAAATGTGGGCATAAAATAATAATAATAATAATAATAATAGGGCGTAGGGAAGTGACGACCCCATCGCCCGTTGACGTGACGGTTATGTGACAAAACCGCTACGTCCGCGCAGTCAGTCAGCACCTTGCCAAGAGGTGTGAGCGCCGTGCCTCGGCAAAAATTGATGGTGCAAGGGCCCGCTTGTGCATATGGCCTCACCATGAAACGGCGCCGGGTCTGGGCGTCATTTTGAGCGCGAGAATCACTCGTCACCTGGACTCAAATCAGGTGATGTCGCGCGCTCAAAATGGATGTCGGGGCGGCGGTCGTGGAACCAAGGAATCATTGACGCGGTCATTGGCAAAGTGGTGAAACGCAACCGTCGGAACTTCTCCGCCGCCTGGATAGACTACAGAAAGACATTCGACTCGGTGCCCCATACATGGCTAAAGAGAGTCCTCGAACTGTACAAGATAGACTGTACAGTTAGAGACTTCCTCGAGCAGTGTATGGGGCAGTGGAGTACGATCCTTTGTCATCTGGGCGAGCGGATGATGGCTGCGGAGAACCACATAAGGATAAGAAGGGGTATCTTCCAGGGCGATTGTCTGAGTCCAAAATGGTTCTGCCTCTCTCTGAACCCTCTCAGTACCTTACTGGAGGGCTCCGGGAGGGGATTTCAGCTACGGAAAGGAGGGACAAAAGTGACCCACCTTTTCTATATGGATGACCTCAAGTTATTCGCCTCCAGTCGCTCCCATCTTATGGAACTGCTAAACATCACTTGTGAATTTAGCAATTCCATTGGAATGGAGCTGGGGACGGATAAGTGTGCGGTCCTCCATGTTGAGAGCGGTAGGGTTGCTAACTCTGAGGGTATAGACTTATCTATGCCCGTCAACTTAAGGACCCTTTCCGAGGCTGAAACATACCGATACCTGGGTATGTCACAGAACATTGGTATCGATGAGGCTGGTATGAAACAGTCAGTTTGCGACGTGTTTTATGCACGCTTGACCAAAGTGCTTAACAGCCTTTTGTCCGGTGTGAATAAGACACAAGCATATAACGGCTGGGTCATGCCTGTCCTCATGTATACCTTTGGCATACTCAGGTGGACTCAGACTGAACTTAACGCCCTGGATAGAAAAGTCCGCACTACCATGACGTCCCACAGGATGCATCATCCGAGATCGTCGGTAATGAGGCTGTACTTGCCGCGAAAGCATGGTGGGCGTGGCTTCTTGAGCGCGCTCACCATGCATAATCGCGAAGTGTGCAGCCTCCGTAATTACTTCCTGGCGAGATCGGATGATCCATTCTATAAGGACGTCATTTCTTGTGATAAAGGACTTACCCCTCTATCCTTAGCCAACGAGCAATGGCAAGACCCGACAGTGCAGACAATTTCCGACCGGGAGACCGTATGGAAGGAGAAGGAGCTCCACGGGAGGTTCTACAAGTCTCTACATGTGCCTTTCGTAGACACAGTAACCTCTCTCCACTGGCTACGCTTTGGTGACCTCTTCGGGGGAAACCGAGGGTTTTGTCTGTGCAATACAGGATCAGGTTATTAAGACCAACAACTATCGGAGATACATCCTAAAGGATGGCACCATCGATATCTGTCGAGCTTGTCGCCATCCCGGTGAGTCACTTAGGCATGTCATCTCCGGTTGTTCGGCGCTTTCTAACTCTGAGTACTTGCACAGGCACAACCTAGTAGCCAGAATTCTACACCAGGAGCTCGCTCTGAAATACGGTTTCGTGGATCGGAAGTTGCCGTATTACAAGTATTTGCCGGAAGCCGTGCTCGAAAATGATCGCGCCAGGCTCTATTGGGACCGGGCCATCATCACAGACAGGACTATTCTTGCGAATAAGCCTGATATTGTGCTGATGGACCGGGCACAGTCAAGGATATTTTTGGTCGACATTACCATTCCGTGTGACGAGAACCTCGTGCCGAAGCCGAAACAGATAAGCAAACAAAATATCTGGACCTGGCTCACGAGGTGACCGACATGTGGGGTGGTCTGCCGACCGAAATTATTCCTGTAGTCGTCTCTGCAAACGGGCTAATCCCAGTCAGCCTCTCGGGTCATCTGAGGCGGCTGGGACTACGTGGCGGACCGCTCCAGGCTCAAATGCAGAAGGCGGTGCTCCTCGATACCGCCCGCATCGTCCGCCGGTTTCTTTCCCTTTCCTCCTAACCCTCGGCCGTTTGGTCTCCCCTGCCGAGGGCTTCCATCTGGTTGGGCTTTTATTTATTTATGTATTTTCGTATTTATTTTATTTTATTGATATTTTTGTATATTTGTCTTTTCATTTTCGTTTATAATTATATATTTATACATCCCAACCAGATGAGAAAACTATATAGATACCCCACACATAACAATATAATAATAATAATCTTTATTGACACCAAGTAAGGATTACATTATTTATCTTTAAGACATTTGAACAGTTATAACTCATTACATTACACAATAATACAATTTATCTGTCGTTTAGAATTCTATGAAGGTTTATAAATTTGCTAGGAAATTTATAAACTTGCGATTCTTGTTATTTTCCTGTGACATAACCTATTATTAATATTTGCCTCAAAGTCTCAGTTCTGTATTGGACAAATAAAACACCTAGAATGTACTTTTTTCTCATTTTATTATTTAGACTTAAATTAAAATACTTTGTACTCAGTCGGTGTCCTACACATTAACGGTGTAAACCATTGAGTTATACGACACTCAATGGTGTGAACGGTGTCAGTCAATCTTCTTAGTTCCTGCGGTACAAGTCTAGAGCTTAAAGACATCAAAGAAAAGTTTCATTATGGAATGACTTTTTGTTAAATAAAAATATGTGTTCATT